GGCGGGCGGCCGGGCAAGCCCGCTCTCCTGCAGCCGCTTCGGCTTGTAGGAAGGAAGCTCGAAGAAACAGCTTTTTCAGTTACTTGTTAAACGCACAGTGCCGCTTGATTTGCAAAGATTATATTCCTCTAATGGGCTTTATGCAGTGGGGGTGGTGAGGAGGGGTTGATTAGGTAATTTCTGAAAACCGCGTGCTCTGAATTGTATGGCTTTCTATGACAGCAACTGAAAAGGACTGATTCTTTGCAGTTTGCCAGTGAAGGCTGACAGTGCACCCACGCACATCTGTGAGTGCCTTATATAATACTTACAGCTTGTAATAGGCGTAGGCAAGATTTATTTTGGTTTGTAAAGCCTTGTGTGCTTGCAGCATGCAGAATTAAAGCAATATTCTCTTTGCTGGGCAGAGATTTACATGGTTTTCTCTTTAAAGCAGATAGCCAACTTTTGATAATACTAGAATAATTTGATTAAGTCCTACCTTAACGCTTTGGGCACAGTGGAAGGGGCTGTCTGTATTGGAGCAAGCAGCCGAGGGAGGGGAAGAGAGAGAAGTGTCCTAATGCAGTGACTGATATTAGGTTGTTTAGAGGGCGAGACTGCAGTTCCAAGCAGCAACAGCAGCAGCTTTATGACTGTGTGTAATTACAGAGTGATTGCATAGGACAGCAGTGTTGGAAGGAATACGTATACACGGGCTATTGTGCAAGACTTTTGTACTGGACAAAACCTGAATTTGCATTGCAAATGTTGAAAAGAGAATGTATTCTGTGTTCAGCTGCCAAGTTCCTCTTTGACTTCACCTAAGAATTAGAAAGGGGGGAAAAAGAGAAGTGGAGTGAAGCTGGTCGTAGAAGTCATAGATCTGAAAGGCTCAGCAGAAACACCACCTGTATTATCTGAAATCACAGAAGGTTTTGGAAAGCTTGTGGAATCTGTGGATTCATGCCCTTAATGTGATTATGCAGCAAGGGAAAATCAGTCGAGTTTGCTAATAGTCCTGCAAGTTTAGCATAATTCTTGCTCCGGTCTAATTTCTTGTATGCTGGTGTGGGGGAAAAACAACTGTGTTAAACTATGCAACTGTGGTTCAGCTATCTTGTTTGGAAACAGAAGAGCAATGGGGAGAAGTTCTATGTTAGGCCACAAAAAATAAAAGGTTGAAAGGAACATCAGTCTAGTTATAAATTTTGAACGCACTGTTTCAGCTTTAGTGATTTTTTTCCCTTTTTTAGTAAGGTCACTGAGCAGTGAATATGTAACTCTCAGAGGCAGTGTTGGCTGATGGGTAGGACAAGGCATTGGGATTGTGCCATTGACATACTATATTAGCAAATCTTCTAGCTAAGACTTTGGAAAGACCGTCAAAATTTAAGTTCTCGTGGATGCAACTTAAGGTACCTAGCAATTGTTTTTCAGAGGTGCTGGTTGCCTTTGATTTCCCCGAATTTTGTTTTGTTTCATTCCGAGTACTGGGAATGAAACAACAGATCCACAAGATTTCAGGTCTGGTATTCAGAAATTGGCCTTTCCAAGGTTAGAGGCAACTTTCTAAGACTTAATCTTAGGTAATGAAGCTATGAGGCTTGTAAAGTGTTTTGAGCGCTATCTGATGAAAGGTACTGTAATAATGAAAAGCTACTTTAAGAATGTCTTAGTGTTCCACTAGAATGTATTATTTTAGCTGAATGCTTATATCATTCTTATCACTGCTAGTTTCCTCTGGTTGTTAACCAAGTACTTCATGTAAAATGTAGGTTTCTTAATGAAGAACATAGTGATCTGCTGAAGTTGACTTTTGGGGTTTTTTTCTTAACTTATTAACTACAACACTAGGCCTATCACTTGACCAACTAATCTTCACAGAGATACTTCTGTGAGCTTATTGGATCATTTCATTTTAATACAAAGTAAGTGAAGATATTTTAAGCTGTGCATTACTATGTTGTTACATATTTGTGCATTTTTGTTTGTATCGTTCTTCCTGTCTTGACTGACTGACCTATGTCATGCTCAGTGTTTTGATAGCAAAATTGCTTTCTGGGGAAAAACAGAAAGAAAAATCTTTTAAAGCGCTTATTTCCTTGACTCGTTTCAGGTAGTAATGCGGTATAGTCATTCCTTATGTTAAATCTTCTGCTTCTCACAACCTACCTGACAGGAAAAAAAAAAGGTTTAGGCCAGGATTCTTAGGACTGGCACACAAAGGAGTAGGTAACTTTTATGTCTGTGAGTAATCCTATGGTAGTCAGGAGAATTAGGCCTGGATGTACCTTATGTGCATACTAGCAAAAGGAGGGCATTCCCACGCTAGCCTTTAACCCATCGAGGCACGTAAGAATAGCGGTGGTAGTGGTGAGGATTACAGCATGTGTACTAGCAGCATGAAAGCCTCCTGAGAGCCTGTCTGCTTATTCCAGGTGTTGATTTGTGCTTTGGCACCTTTGCTCTTGCTGTCAGCCATGCACAGTAGCTGCAGGGCTGCAGAAGGTCTTTTCAAGGCACTCCACTGCCTGTCATCCCTCTGGTGACATTATCCTTTTGAGCTGCCAGACAGTCCTTTAAGTCCTTGCCACCAAAAATAAGAGTATAAGACCGGGACAAGCATACCTGATGTTTCCAAGCTTCCTATCATATTCAGCTTGGGGATTTCCTGAGCTGGGTGAGGTTTCTATACGTTTAGCAACTCTGGATGAGTTTCTACTCAAGAGACTTGTCTAGTTTTCCCTTGAGCTCTGATGAATGTTTAGGTGCCACTTTTCTAACTTACTGATCAAGGCATGGAATGAGGGTATAAAAAGGGCTTATGTTTGGGATAAGAGCTGATATGTTTTTCTTGATTGCCTTCTTAAAAATAATTTTTTTTTTTTACTTTTTGAGGCATTGTATACAATCTTAGTGTTGGTCATATTAAATTACGATTTATGCTAAAATGAAATGCTAGAAATGTGCATGTTATCTCCAGTGCAGTTAGTTATGTTCTAAGTGACGTAAAGGGAGGGAGAAACCAGTTCTCAGGGTGTTCATTACATCAAACCTGGGGGGAGGGGGGGGGCTGTGCAGACAGCAGCAGTGAAGTTTTGCAATGCATATCCAGAAAGCTAGCAAATTCTGGCACAGGCAAGCCAGGGCTGGTGAGTCAGCTCCAAATGGAAGACTTGTCACTGAGCAATTTGTGAATAGGAGGGATGTACTGCTAATTCAAGGAAATATTGTCTTTAGCACCTCCCCTAATAATTAATTGGTATAATGTGGCACAGAGCTATCTGTCAGAGGGAAGTTGTTGCTGCTTTGAATCATGGTTCCCTCTAGCATGATCTGAGCACTGAAACCAAGAAGTCCCTCAGTTGTGCTATGTGTATAGGACTCTGAAAGAGATGGTTGCTCAAGTGATGATTTAAATTTTTTGTAGCTGCATGCCAGCAACTTGCATGCGGGATGGAAGCTTGTTGGCAGCTAGTGCTGCTGCCGGGGCACGGCT